AACATTTATGTTTTCATGTTATAATTTGTGTTAATTCTAGAATGAAAGAGGCATAATTTATGTTTTTTTCCTAATTTTTTTATGGTGGTTGTGAGATCATTCAAATCTACTGAACCCGTACAGAGATTAATTACTGAAAATGACAGATAAAATATAAAGTTTTTTCTTAAGACACATCTGATAACTATCCAGACGTTATAAAGATTTTGCATATGAAATTTCAAAATTTTCTTATGCATAAAAATATTTTTAATTTTAAACTGAAAATTACCTTGCATGATAGATAGGCAAGATGTAAAAAGAAGAAAAAAAAAGGCATGAGAGAAACATTGCTTTACGAACCTTACGACTTATCAAAAAATTAGATATTTTTGTGAATGAAAGCACTGTAATGTTTACTGATAATCTGCCAAATTTCATTAATGTTCACTTACTAATTTAAAAGTTATAGGATGAAAACTATAACAAGTACAAAATGGTTACAAGGTCGTCAATCGACCGACCTCATATTGAAAGTTAATGTGTTCAAAGAAATCCTTTCTGTTAATTTTTACATTTTTAGCCAACACTTTCTCATAGATAATTTTTTATGTCCTAATTTCCTGTTTCACCACTTTCTTGATATTCTATAATCTTCTAAATCTCCCGTCATACCAGTCAATTTAAATATCTTAAATTTGTGATGCTTTTTTTAATTTTATCTCTTATACTCTTAGTGAGACAACCTGGTTTTTACTTGCAAATATATATACCCTAGTGTGTATGTGTATATATTTTATTTTTTTTTAAATGGTGAAAGACTTGTATGTTGTATATGCCCAATCTGTTTATTTTAATTTTGAACAAATAAATGGCATAAACGTCTTGGTTATCATTTGGCAGTAAATCCAACTTATAGTTCCAATCTAACACCATACTGTATATCTTGTTTCAAGATTCTGAGTATTTATTTTGACTCGGAAGAGTATAAAAAAGAGCTTGTGAATGACTTTGAAAGTTTGTGATAAACATGTAACGTGGAATTAGCTTGAAAATATAATTTTATTTAAGTATTCCATATTTAAAGTTAACAAAATGATAGCATTGTCTTCAAGTATTGCTAGCTGAGAGTAAAACAGAACGATGATGTTATCCTTATATTTCATTTTCAATAGAAATATATAATCTCATCTGTTTCTTATCTTTTTCTTTTTTCTTATCTGTAACTTAGATGTATTGAAACAGAGATTGAAGCCTTGAAATCAATCTATGTTCATGAATTGGAAGTTGAATATGCTGAGAGGTAAGAGCATTTTATTTGTTTGTCAAATATATCCATAAACTAGAGTGCTACAGTTGGATAACGATTCATATTTTTCTTCTATGTTGTTCTCTCTAAAATCCTGTTGCTTAATATTAAAGGCTTTTACAATTTGGAATAACTAACCTTTCTAATTATGACCACCTTATTCTCACAGCTTTTTATCGGTTATCTGAGGTTTTATCATTCTTTGTTTTAATTTTTGTTCTCATTTTGTAGTTGGTTTTAGTATAGTAATTAAGAACATAATTTATTCCCCATGTTTCAGTAACGAAAAAAAGTATTATTTAATGATGTAGTTTTAAGTTTGAACCTGATTACACCACAAGGCAGGATGTGTCTCTTAAAACACCAGCAGCAGAGACATGCAACATTGCTGGCCAGAGACGTCGCTAGCCACTGGCATATGGGGGTCCATGCCTCGATTCTACTTGACAATGCCCCAAATCCCCAGGTGACATTTTGAAACATTAGAATAGAAAAACCATGATCGATATCATACCGAGATGCCAAAAATTCCCATGCTTATGGGGAGAAGCCCAGAATCTTTTAAGCACATAGTGATAGAACAATAATCTATATCGAATTGATATAAAATAATACTTTTGAAGATTTAGTAGATGGTAAAAATTATTACAGCATACAAACCAGGGCACACTTTGTTAAATATCCAGTGGGGTGGGTAAGACAATAAAATAGCATAGCAAGCCTTGAGACAGTAAAAAGGATCGCCAAATTACTTGCATAACTATACCCAATCAACTGCTAAGAAATCCATTATGAATCCGTCATTTCCCAAACTCTGTCACCATTCAAGATAAGTGCAGTTATTATTTATTTTAGAATGCATTTTTTAATGCTGAGTATGTGGTTGCCTGGTTATGCAAACACAGTATGGTACAAGGTTAATTATGAAATAGGTTCTACTGCATATAAGAACTCAGTTCCAAAGATTCTTAATTGTCCATATTAGTGTTTTTTTTTTGTGCGTGTTTTGTAAGGTTGATAATCACTAAATTAAAGGACCCCCCCCCCCCAAAAAAAGAGGGGTTGTACAGTAGCAGATGCAAACATTTAAAATTCACACCAGAAAAACATTGTAATTTCATTATCTTTGATTGGAAAAAGAGGGAGGGGGATAATCTTATCCCACCCCTAGGATGGCGATTGAAGGTATAAAAAAGAAAGAAAAAATCAGCCAGGGAAATCCCCCATTGTACCTTGAAACCAGCTAAAATTGTTCTAATGTCAATTGAACTGTGACATTTGTGATTTATTGGTAAACATTTAATTTCTTAAAAACATTTTTTTTTATTCACTTGATTAAAGAAGTCGTAACGAATCACTTTATACAAATTAGGAGTTTTATCAGTTCCTTATTTGTTTATAAGCTGTTTTCTTTTCTTCTAATTGTTATTCCAGTGATCAGCCAACAACTGTAGCTGTTCATCTCCATCCTGCTACAGGAGAAAATATTGAAAAACAGTTTGTAAGACTTACACTAGTATTGAAGCTTTCATCAAGAGTAAGAATATTCTAAATTTTCATCTTACTATAATGGATGTGGTACATGTGTATGTATGTGTGTATGTACGTATCTAGGGTACTATAATGGATGTAGTACATATGTATGTATGTATGTATGTATCTAGGGTACTATAATGAATGGAGTATGTATGTAACCAAAAACTACATGAAAATGTGGCGCCATCTATTGAATTGCATCACAAACAGAAATCCATAAAAATATTTCACATTTTAGGTATTCAAGACTCGGACAATTTGAAAAATAGCAATGGCATGTGCAACAACCATTTCTTCATGACAAAACACAGTTTTAAATAAAAGTACTCTCCCACACAAAAAGAACACAACTTTCACTTGGACTGTACATGAGGGTTTGATTATATCTTTATTGATGTAATGTGTAAATATAGTATTAAAACAAATGGTGTTTTTAAAAGGAAAAACTATTTTTTCAATAAAGGATAGCACTTTTAATATATAAAAAAAACATTACAGTTTTTAATTGGTGAAATTTAGGAAAATTTTGAGCTTTGTACGTTTGAATAATTTTGATGTAATAAGTTATGCAGGACTAAAGATAACGGTCTGAAGACTTTTTCCCATGCAGTACTTCCCAGAAAAAAACTTTTTTTTTTTTTTAGTAAAATGTTCACTTTTTAAAAAAAATTTTTAGAATTGGGTATGAACACTACGATTAGTAAATACTAGCCCAAATAGCTGGCCGTAGGGGAATATTTCTGATAGTACATTAAAAAATGACATTTTTCTCCCATGCAAAGTGACTGACTAACATCAACATTGTTATAAATTTAGATAATGCATCACTGTAAATTTGTTTAGTGTGACTAAATTATAACCGTTTAAAACCTACTGTTTCATTTTTTTAAGTCTGTGAGAATTGGAAGAGTTCTATTGGTGGGTTGTACATACTAGTTGCTTGAAAATTGTGCTCACCACAGAGGGAACTTAGTTGTGAAAGGGGAGCCAAAGACTACCTGGAGGAATCACCTGTTTTAACCACTTACACCACTTACAGTAGTGTGTTGTCTGTCAGTAGACATTAAAATGATGTCACATATGGGACACTTAGTGTTGTAATTTGTACTGTCGGGATGTCAGTAAAACAACCCCATGCTGTAAATTTTTGGAAATTTTTTTCTCTCTCTCTGCAATGTTTCTACGACGTATTGTGTAGTGTTTTTGGAAATTTTTTCACTCTCTGCAATGTTTCTACGATGTACTGTGTAGTGTTTTTGGAAATTTTTTCACTCTCTGCAATGTTTCTACGATGTACTGTATACCGTTTTTGGAATTTTTTTCACTCTGCAATGTTTCTACGACATACTGTGTACCATTTTTGGAAATTTTTTCACTCTGCAATGTTTCTACGATGTACTGTGTAGTGTTTTTGGAAATTTTTTCACTCTGCAATGTTTCTACGACGTACTGTGTGTACCATTTTTGGAAATTTATTCACTCTCTGCAATGTTTCTACAACGTACTGTGTACCTTTTTGGAATTTTTTTCACTCTACAATGTTTCTATGATGTACTGTATACCGTTTTTGGAAATTTTTTCACTCTCTGCAGTGTCCCAGATGGAGAGTGTTCTTATGTTTCATACTGTTATCTGGGGCACATGAACAACTTTTTGCTTTTGTTTTCATGGATTCTCATCTATTACAAGATGCCACATATTGCTTACTATGGTTGGTATACAACATTTTGCAGGTCTCATTCTGAATGGTGCTGTTGTACCAAGATGATCCATATTCCTTTGTTTTCCAATACCATTAAGATCAAAGGATATTCCCGTATTTGAAATTCTAAATAAGTTTCCGATCCGAACTTGTCAGTATGATCTGAGTGTATGAATATTTTATGTCGGAAAGAGTTCTTACATAACCTACCTAAAAAGTGATAAGTTTTTGGAGGCATCACACTTTTTATGAAATGCCAAACAGTGTTAAAATGTGGTTCTGATACATGTTGTTCCACCATAACTTTATATTTACTTTGGATGTCAAATGAATTGCTGATATTCAAAATTGTCTTAATGTAACATACTGAACACTCTGTAGAATCAAAGGCAAGCCTAAAAATGATCAAACATTTTTTGTTATTACTGTTAATTAATTTGCCAAACTCTTCTTCAGTTCATTACCTCATTGGAATAGTTACTTCAAGTAGGTCTCTTTTTGTTTTTTCTTTTCCTTCTGTTTAATTTTTTCAACTTTGAAAGCTTAAATACCAATTACTATAACCTAACAACCATTTTTTGATCTATTACTCTATTATCTAAAGATCTTAGCATTGTTCATCAAAAGTAATGAAAAGTAAAATAAAAAAAATGCTCTGTTTATGATAATTTTATTTGGCTTTTAAATATAATGTTTTCTTTTTATATACTGTAAGCTTTAAACCCCAAGTATTATCTTGTTTTTATACCACATACTCTGTTTTTCATCTTATTAAGTAGGTTTGTGTTCTGTCTGGTATGACACCTAGTGTAAAGAACAGATTTAAAAAAAAACTTGTTATTTTTAGGTAAAACATAGAGTAACCTAGCAGTAACTCCTGGGATTAATAGATATATTCATGGTATTTTTATTTAAAATTTCTTTGTGTGACTAGTATGATAATATGAGCCCTGTAACTCAGAAAGTCATGAATTCACAGGTGATTTGTTGCATAAAAAGTTTTAAAAATACTGTGTAACAAAAGCTGATGAAGTCCGTATGAACTCCTTTGGAAATCCTAAGGCTAAAGTAATGTAACTACTTGCCACTAGGCAATCTTAGATAGATGAAATGATACTTGTTTCTTTTTTAGTATCCTGAAGAAATCCCGGCAATAAACATCAGAAATCCCAGGGGTTTATCTGATGATAAATTAGAATTGTAAGTATCATTATAAAGATAGCTGTGCTCTTCACATGCTAATACTTCGGAATATATGTATCTGTTACTATTTATACTCTTATATAATACAAGATTACTAAATATTATTTATTTAAAAAGAGGGGTTATGGATCATAAAAAAACAAACAAAAAGTACAGAGACAAGTTGAATCAAAATGCAAAGATTATATTTTCAAGCTTACCTAGCGTCTTGGTTATTTTCTCAAGTTACAAATCTAAAATTGATAAGTACTGTAGACATGGAGTAATATTCCAGATTTTTTTTTTGGCAGAAAGGGAGGGACTTAGAAAATGTGACAGCACGACAAAATTAAAGAGATCGAATTAAGTTTAAAATTACTCTCAATTTTTTACCAAATTCCTGTGCGATCCCACACTACAGTAGAGATCACTTGCAATAATTTTGTTGTGGTGTTATAATAGGGATTTTTAGCTTGAGAACACTGTCAGCAGTTGATCTCTAGCATAGTTTGCTCAATATTTTTTGCAATACCTATTTGTAGATATTAAGTTCTCAATTTTTAATTATCTTGTATGGGTGGTTTTTTTAATGTTCAACAATGGCAAATGTATGCCTAGAATAAGACACGACGACCATTAAACACACATAAAATTTTATCAGTAATGATTAATATTTTTGTACTGTTTTTGTGTAAAAATTTGAAACTAGGTACTTCGGCAAGAATGAAGAACAAAGTGATCATAACCCATATTGTGTAACATGCATGTTAATTTTTAAAGTTTATATATTATCTTGATGTCTCGTTAATAAAGTGATTGAATTTTATTAGTTTTAACAATAATTTTTATCTGCTTCCACCAGACTTTTTCAGAACTTGACACTAAAAGCAGAAGAATCCAAAGGCCATCAAAGCCTTTATGAACTGATTGAGGTACAGTACATCACAAAAACGTGAAGCTGGGTAAAAAGTGTTAAGAAAAATATACGTATGTTACTTACGTATCACCATTTTCCTTTATACGTCTGTTTTAAATTTTGGGTAATCGTAAAAATTCCTCTACAATATTTATGTACGTAATTAAAATAATTGAAACATTTTGTATTCAAGTTAGATGGAAAAGAATGAATCAAAATGGAGGCTGTCATGTGATAAGTGTTTGTAGGCAGTGTTTTCGAGTGTATACTTGTACTAGACCCATTGAAAACTGGTGTTAAAGCATAAAGGAAAATATACAGACTTATGACTTTTAACCTAAAAGCTGCCTTTTCTAGTGCCCCCTGGAGCTAAGCTTGTATCAGATTCAAAAATTGGCTCAGACAGAATAAAGTTACCCTAAGCAAAATTTGACTTTAATATTTTGTTGGAGGATGGCAGGGGGCTGAATTGGTCTATCTTTAATGACTTGTGGATTGTTAGTTTTACTTAAGATATAACGTCTGTTAAATCAAATTCTTTTTGCAAGTTAGAAATCACTGGCTCATATATATATATATATATATATTTTGGGGAATAACCCCACTCACCCAGGTCCAAGTTCCACCCATGAAAATAGTATTGTCTTCAGTAGTAGGAGAAAGCCAAAACTATGCTCCAAACTTAATTAAGTGCACAAACATAAATGTTCTAAAAGGGGCTTCATCTAATAAGAAATGATCTGCTGAAGTTTCAAAATTTTTGTTAGAATAAACTATCGGAAAGATATCATCATCTTTAGTAACTATTTAGAATAAGTATCAGTTCAATATCATACGAAAGAATGTTACAAAAATGTGTGATCAAAACAAATGTGGAATTTCCTGAAGATAAACTGTGGTATTGCCAAATTATATCTAAGTTCAAGGTTGTTTTTTTTTCTCTCACCCTCTGGTGGTGGTGGTTCAGAAGTAAATCGGAAGACTTATAACACTAAAAGTTGGGTTTTGATGTGTGTGTGGTAAGCAGAGCACCGATGTCCCATCGTGTATCTTTTCTGCTTAACAACAAACATTTTTGTTTTCTCAGAACTTCAAGTCTTTAACATATGTTCTGACATTGAGGTGGAAAACACCCAATAAACGAGTTCATTGGCATTATTAAGCTCGAAGGTAGTTTAATTGACCGATAAAGATTGAATCTTATTTCAGATGCTCAAAAAAAATCAAACTGATATAGAAAAACGTAAATGCCATATAATTTGAGCTTTATTTGGAATATGCTAAAGTACGTGTATAATGTTTCAGTGAGTTAAATGTGTCGAGAAAGTTGTGTTTACTCCGTGACTGTTATTTAAGAAAAAAAAACTATTTCTGTGTGTTTGACTGATATATAGCCTTGATATACTGGTACACTAATATTGATTTCATTGTTATTTAATTTTGAGATACATATGAGTTAAATTTATTTCATTTAGTCGTTTGTTTTTTCAATCTTACTACTCTTCTATATGAAAAAAAAGTGGTATAAAGATAAATAAGATGAGCAACTAAATGTGTTTTTAATTTGGATTGTTTTCTTTTATTACTTATCATAGGTGGCTAAAGAACATCTTACGGTACAAAATACACCAAGCTGCCCATGTGCCATCTGTCTGTATCACTTTACAGAGGAGGATGTGTTCACCAAGACGGAATGCTACCACTATTTTCATTGCTACTGTTTATCCCGCTACATTCATCACTGCCTTGCAGAAAAAAAGGAAGAAGAAGAAGCTTCCACAAGGAGAGCTGGTGTGGAGAATAAAAAGATAGAGGTATGTGCCGGCTTAAAATTGTGGTCTCGTTCAGCGTGTATAATAAAAGAAAATTATGATTAAACCAAAGTGATGTTTACATGCAATTGTATATTGGGTAAAGTTTTGTCACATTAATGTTTTGGGGGAGAGGAGTGCAAATGTATCAAATAGATAAGGTATCACGTTGCGGTGGTCCAAAGCTGAAACCATGGTATATATGGCTGAACATGCTCTGCACCTTTGTTTGTATGGCATTATATTTTGGATATGCAATCCCACTATTCTGTTAAGAAATTATAAATGACTATACTTGAATCATTGGGATCTCTGACCTGGCTGTTAATCTTTTGTTGTACAAGTGTCATTCAGGTTGAAACAAACCAAATATCAAATAAGTATTTGTAGAATATAGAGTTTGATTTCTGTGATGTATTATTCAAATACTTGTGAAATATGTATTTTGGTTTTAATTGGTAATTTGTCGTCATTTTAATGTGTGAGTTTACATTATGAATAGTGACCTGGTTCATTTCTAACAGCAATTACATGATAGCTTATACCAATTTTTTTTCTTCGCTATACTGCTGGCTCTCTAAAACTTGAACTTAGAACTTTAAAAAAAAAGCGAAAATGTTATGTAACATTTTGTCATTGTATTTTGCAGATTGTATGTCCAGTTTGTCGGACAGTTATTGACTACAAAAGCTTCTCGAGGAAAACTTATCCCGTTCCTAAGGAATCTGAACAAGAACAGGACTTCAAAGTCACTTCAGATCTTCGTAAGCAGCAAGAATGGATGGCTTTTTTATTTGAAAAACAAAGAGCAAAAGGAAGCATAATTGATGTAGAAATGGAGAAAAACAAGTTGCTTTTAGAGATATCGGTAAGTCTGGGAATAAATGTTAACTGTAGAGTTTGTTCTACTTAAATCTCCAAAAATTTGAAATGTTTCAAATTCTAGTTTGAAGAAACTGACTGCCCAATTATTCAAATCTACTGATGTGTGATACAATATTAATTTGCATCTGTTGCTGAAAATAGGCCTACAGTTAAAAAGTTAGGCCTATTTTCAGTAACAGATGCTAATTAATATTGTATTTCACATAAATAGATTTGAATAATTGGTCAGTCAGTTTCCTGCAACTAGATTAGTTTTCTCTTTGCTTTAGGATGGAGTTTTTATTAGTTTTTTTTATAATTAAACCAGGATATGAGTAAAAAAAAATTAAAACATTTAAACAAAGCAAATGTATGTATGTTGTGTTGTAGCTATTGTATCTAACCTAAACTTGGACAATACACATTTTGTTAAAAAAAACAAAACAAATGAACATATAGAAATAAGTATTCATGTAATATTTTTTTCACCTAATGCTTCTGTAACTTGTTTATAAGGTTTAAATTTATTGAATGAAAACAAAATGTGTGATTTGAAATCTTCCAAATAACTTGTAGTTTATTGCATGAATTATTATTTAAAAATACTAGTAAAGGAAAGGACATTTTCTGTAAGTTGTATATCTGTAGGATAAGATAAACTAGCTTGTAAATTAATATTACAAACACCTTTCACTATTATAGCTTTATATTATGTGAATTTCCTTGAGTTTACTGTCATTACAAATGAGACGTATCGCAAAGTGGGTGAAACCCGGCATGCTAAGCCATTTTCATTTTGTTACTTTTGTATGAACTTACTATTCTTTTAGACCCTTGTTACTACATACACCTTACTTTTGCACCTTTATATCTCATCCATTTTTAGACCCTTGTTACTACATACACCTTACTTTTGCACCACAGTATTCACTGGAATGAAAAATGTTGACAAACACAAGTTTCTTTGTGGAATTTTTGTTCAAAAAGGGGAAGAATAGAAGTGCAAGAATACTAAAAAGGAAAGAAACTCTAAGATTTGACAGAACAGCTATAGTAACACAGACCAGTGAACACGTCACATGGCTGTTACAACAACTGTACTAACTACATCACTTAGTTGTTGGAAAAACTACAAAACAGAACAATGAATACTGTAACCTAGCTGTTAGAACTACCAACATGTTTGTAAATCTAAGTACGCTATAAACATTATTAAATGTTTCTGTGATATCAGTTGTTATTGTAATTTTTTGTATGTCTTGGTGTTTTATAAGTCTGTACTTTTGTTGTTTGTTATTGTGTGAAATTAACCTACCTAATAATTTATATAAAAATATCATAAAGTAGCTTATCATTTAACAGTCTTTATCCTCTGTTATCATATATATAGAACTTCAATAACCTTTTTGTTTTGTCATCAAAATTCTATTGTAATACTAAATTAACTATATTAATCTTATGCTGTAAATAAGCATTTGGTTTGTTTTTTCTTAGACAACTAGCAGGGAAACTATGAACAACAATACTACCTCAGATAGTAAGTCATTAGAAATTCATGAACCAAGTGTTTCAGCTGCCAGAGATATTGTGGATGAAGAAGAAACCTTACACACAAGTAAAGATAAAAAGAATGTCAGGAAACCAGCCAATCCTAAATCTAGAAAACTCGAGAATTTCACAGATTCACAAAAATCAGCTGATTCAACATATTGTTCTGAAAGGAAAGCTCAGCTTAGTGCGGATGGAAATAACGTGTGTGGTTCTAAAACAAAAAAAGTATTACCAGCTGTAAGTATTGTTGATCGGAAAGATGGTTGCCCAGATGTGACAGTTGAGAAATGTGGAGTAGTTGAACGGGTATGTGGAGAGCATTATGGCAGGAAAAAAACTTATGAAAAATTTAAAAGGAGTGGAGCTCGAGAACCTAGAAATTGGTATTCTGAAGAAAAAGATGTAAGAGCTCCACGTAAAGATGAAGGATACTGCAGTCCAGTGATGCAAGTGAAGTCTTATAGGAACAGGAATCGTAATATACCGTGCAAGGGTTATCCTTCTAATGACTGCAGTGCAAAAGCCGATGGTGAGCAGCACAATAATGATCGAAAGCCTTTTCAGAACAAAAAAAGTGTGGAAGATTGTCACCCAACAAGTAACACAGTTGAAGTCAACATATCTCAAAATAATGCAAAATTTGAAGATACCTCTCAGAACAGAAAAAAATATAATAATAAATTTTTTAACTGCAGGGTGAGAAATTTTGAACCACATAGGGCTAGATTTGGGCATGAATTCCATTTTAACAGGCATAAGAACAGGTACCCACCTCATGTTTATGGATCTAGAAGTATTCCTGAGGAGAAACCCAACAGAAAACAATTTCAGAGTCATCAAGACATTAGTTTAGGTTCTGATAAATCTATGAACCTGACAGAAAAAGACGCAAAAAATGATAAACGGATCGAGTCCAATGACCCAAGCTACTACGACCGGATCAACTCGCGAACTCCACCCTTATCAAAGACTGTAGTTCAACCATATACTAGAGGGTTTAGACTTCCACCAGGATTTAGTAGGCCCCCACCAGGATTTGAAAGAAGATGACAAAAGATATTTATTCTAGACCCTGTTACTTGGGTAAAAGGCTGGTTAAGACAATTCTCTCGTTTTTTTTAAAAATAAATTATAATTTATTTACTTTTGGACTGATATGTACATTAAAGCTATTGTATTTGTATGAAATATTTACTTGCTAATATTATCTACAACAATTTATTATGATGTTGATCTTTAAGAAGAGAACATTGCAGTTGATCTCTGTAAAATCAGTTCTTTGTATTAGAAACTCTTTAGTGATGAGATGGAAAACTGGTAAGTAATATAATGTTGGATCTTAGATTAATAAATAGCATTGATGACTAGAATTTTGTTGTACAAAAATAATGAACTAATATTTTTTTTTTTAATTCAAAATCACCTGTAATCCATACTCAAATAAAATACAGTATTGAGACAAAAAAAAAAGATGATAATTTACTTGATTTACGTTAAAAGGGGTGAAGTGCTGGGAAAATTGTCTTTATCCATTTAATAATTTTATTCTCTAAAGGTCATTTCATTACTTTGAAATTTATTCCCGTTTAATTCTCTCTTGTCTCCATAAAATCTTTCTCAATTCAAAACTGTACTGAAATTACATAATTTTTTTTTTTCTGGCATCTGATTGATTGTTGTGGTAATTCTTATCGTTGAAATTTGCAACTTTTTTATTCTTTCTTGGACTCGTGCTGACCATTAATATTAATTTTTAACATCTTGTAATGTTGCTCAAGCAATCAAAACATGATACAGGACGCATGAGTGCAAATAATAAAGTTATTTAAAAAACATTTTTGGCAATCAGTAAGACGGATTTTAATTATCAATTAAATCGTTCGTTTAGTAAAATGTAGTGTCATAAAACATGCTGTCTCTAAACAAAGTAAATATTTCACCTTTAAGAAGATAGTTTAAAATTAAAGCACAGAAAATCCATAACAAAAAAAATAAAGGATTGATGTACTTGGTATCACTTGTAATTCATTATGTGAGATAACAGGTGAGAAAGCCAAAATTTGAACTTTTTAATTTCTCCTTTTTTTTTCTTCTCTCGTATGAGTGTTATCATGTGAAGAAACGATAAAGATGATCACCAAATTTAATGAAAATAGTGGAAAATGCTTTTAAAGTTTATTTGCCTATGTAAAAAACCAGAACTTTAGGGAAATGGTAGGTTTGTAGTTTTACTATTTTATTGTAATAGCATGAATAGAGTAAAACGTAAAATTAACATGTCACTTGTTGCTTTTATCTTAACTTTCTGGAGACAAACCCCAACCTGACGGAGTTGATGAGAATTGGTATTACTGTAGTTGATCAACACAAACATCATAAAATGTGAGTTTTTAAAATTGAGTGCTAATGAGTGGATGAATTATTTCTTTATGTGTAGCTTTATATTGAAAGACGGGTGCAAGTTTTTCAATACTCTTCATTTGAAGCATAATAATAGTTGAAATAACGATAATTTTAGATGTATTTCTGCATGGTCCCCGAAGGTGTTGTGTTTCAAGAGTAAATAAAACCAAAATTACAAGTAACAAATAGTTTTATTTCTTGGTTTTCAAGTTTATTTTTCATGCTGTGTTGTAGCCCACAGAGTGCATGATTCTTCTCGTGATTCATGACGTCACGATAGTACAAATTGTAACGTTAAGCGTACCTTATGTGACGTCTTTCTTGTGTATACTTACTGACAGACAACATGCTACTGTACGATAGCGATAGTGGGTAAAACGGGTGACCCCCACAGACGTCCTTCGACCCCCATACAGGGAAATTAAGATTAAATTATTCATTATTGCTTTTTTTCTTATGTTATTGAGTATTACTTAAGAAGATATTTGTTTTAATGGTAAAAATAATATATTTTTTAAATTTCGGGTTTACTTGGAGAACCAAAACATTTATGGAAGATATGTATATTTTTCTTAGTCTATAAGTTAACAACAGGAAGACGCAAAGGCCTATCAAATTTTATTTAAAGGATTTTTCTCGTAAAAAAAATACCTTTTTTTTTTTGGAGTTTGTTAAACTTAAAAGTTCAACACTCTTACACAGAACTATTTAAGTAAACGAAATAATTAAAAAAAATCACTCTTTAAAACTTTTTCTCGCCTTTTTTATGGCTTGGTAAAAAGGTTATTAAGTAATTGTTGGCAATAAAGTTAGAGAAAAAAACAAACTTTTACTTGACAGATAATAATAATAATAAAGAACTTATTTCGGTGCCAACGTTTCACCCTTGCGGCTCCATTGGGACAAGCCTGACTTTATTACTAGAAAGTCTAAATCCTTCTACTACGGATTTAAAAGTTCTTACTGTATTTATCAGTTTAACTTTCTACAAATATTGAAGAAATGAGTGCTAATTAATGAAATATGTTACCGTGGAAACTGCCAGACAAATTAAGTAGTATTTTTTTGCAGCTATTACATAAAACACCACTGGAATTACTTACCTATAATAATGAAATATCTCGCTGTTGTATTCGAACTTCGTTTTATTATATATATATTTTTTTCGGAAACTTTGGGTAGACCATATTAATTACAAATATAAAAGATTGTTTTACCCTAATTATAAGACCAAAACCTTGTGTTCTTTTACTATAATTGTCATACCTAAGACAAATGGGGCCCCGAAGGTTAAAAATGGAGTCAACTCCAAAAAATGATCCCCTGTGTTACTTGCCATGGAACTTTAAGAGTATAAGCCATGTTTGGTGACAATCAGTCCAGTCGTTCGCCAATTACAAGATGATTCGCACTACATACTCGAAGAGAGGCAGCAGTAGAACTTAGCCGAGACCGAGTACAGACCTTAGTGTTATGTCATTACCATTGATTATCGTCGAGTTACCTCACTCATTGTTTATTCGACAGGTATACAACGATATCAGGCAATTTACACCAACAGCAAATGTTATACAGAAAAAGAAACAACGGACGACTGCACTGGAATGGAATTTTTAATCAGCCACGATCACCCAAAAACCGCAAATGCCTGTCTTCACTATAGAAATCTCAACCTTAGTTCGCCGTAACCCTCTTTTCAGCATTTTTCCAGAGAACTTAGATCTTCCATTTCTTTTCAGGAAATTAAACGAGCCTTAGAGACCGCGATTTTTGAACATAAATTCACGCGGTTCACTGAATATCGTCCAGAAAAACCAAACACGTAACCCACTTCATGTAAATTTGTCGACAAGGTATTTCAACGTGGATACCTTTCAGATCATTTTCACTTCAAGGGTGTTTTCTTTGGTCTAGGTACGATTGTTCAAGGTAAAAAGTTTGTCAATGGATGCGTCTTTACTTTGAATCTCCTTAATCGGTATTTAAGTTCGAATCTTCTTAGTGGTTGTAGTTTGCGTTTGTTGGCCAATCACAGTTTTATCTTCTTGGGCAGATATTTGGGTTTGTTGATCTCTCGTACAGGCACAAATGATGTGGGACTTGGTTATGGCATGTGATGCTGGTGGAATTGTGTTTCTATTTCTGGGAAAGACTGTATTATTTCTTGGAAGTTTTCTTTCAGACGAAGCAAGGTAACACAGATATTCAAGCCCACGACACCCATTTAAAAAACCCTCTGAAGAGGTTGGTTGTCTTTGCGCAACTTCATGCTCGCTGAAATATCTTCGTCAACAACTAAGAAAACTCAGAGAATAGTCTACTCAGTTGTTGCCAGCCCCATCAAGTACAACACAGCCGAGAAAGAAATCCAAGCAACGAATCCAATGACGTTCCTGACTGACAAGCTACTTGTTTCTTTTCCTCCAGTTTTTATAAATAACTCATAATTGACTCATTATAAATATTCATCATACCTTACAAACGAAGTTTCTTCCTTTTAAACTAGCGTCACAGCTCGGGCACTGATAGAGCAAAATATTCGGCGTTCAACCAGTGAAAGTGGGTTTTACTCGGGGTATTCTCGTTTCCCTCACCACCAATATCTAGGTATATGATCTTCCGATCCTCTTCCTTTAAACTTGATCCTTTGATCCCTTTTATTTAAAAGTTGAACCATCTGATCTGTTTTTATCTGTCTATCTATTTAATGTTTAGTCGATTCAAGTTACCTTCTTTTATTTTATTTAATTTATTATTTATTTGTTTCTAAAGAAGGTTGGAGTGGACTGCGGAGTATACTTAGAGCTACTGATAGTACAAATAAAGTTCAAGAAGACATGGCCCGGCATGGCCAGGTGGTTAAGGCGCTCGACTCGTAATCTGAGGGTCGCGGGTCACACCAAATATGCTAGCCCTTTCAGCCGTGGGGGCGTTATAATGTGACGGTCAATCCCACTATTCGTTGGTAAAAGAGTAGCCCAAGAGTTGGCGGTGGGTGGTGATGACTAGCTGCCTTCCCTCTAGTTTTACACTGCTAAATTAGGGACGGCTAGCGCAGATAGTCCTCGTGTAGCTTTGCGCGAAATTCTAAACAAACAAACAAGAAGACATACGTCACATCTTCTTCTACGACGGCGTTTGTGTTTCTCCTGCTTCCTTTCTTCCATTTGGTGACGATTTGAATAAAACGTTAGTAAAAGCAGCCAAACCATAAATATAATTATTATTTTTTTAGTAGTAGTTAAATTTTCTTCTTCTTCTTCTTTTTCCACGTAGTGTTTCCAATAATTTCCCAAGCCACGAGTGGAGCGAAGAGGGATTGATCGATCTTTGAATACCCCAGGTTTGTGTATATCAGCCTAAATTATAAATACCTACTAAGGAGCGAACGAATGAACACTCGCACAATTTTGTTAAATAATGGTTTTTATTAGTTTATACATGATAACATTCTTGTTCTGTTTCTTCTGTATTTGGAGATTTATAACACTTGGAAAAGTTTTACTCGTTATTACAGATGGCACTGCATTTACTAACTCAGTAACTGGTCTAAATTATTTTCGTATGTTGCAGTGAGAGTAAGTGTAGTTCTGTTGGTATGTGTTGCTGTTGTTTAGGTTGAATATTAACTTTTAACTTTAAGAAGATTAATTACAAAGCTAAAGTAGTGAATACTATTAGTAATAATATAATTTTCTAGCATAGATGTAAAAATAAATAAATGTGCAACCAGCATATCCATCACGTGGGATAAGAGTCTTATTAGTATTACCGTAAACATGTGGTATGGTGTATAGAATGGGTACGATAGAGAGAACTACTAATGATTGGTTATTTGAAATTTATGTTCTTTTGGCAGTGTTTAGTAAATTTTAGTTTTCACTTATTTTTATTAGTATAATTTATTTATTCAAGTAGTATTTGTATCACTTTTAACATATAAAATATGTGATTTATTGGGTCATAGATGTTTTGCTACACTGTGATACAGCTAACATTGTCATGTTTTGTTTCTTCGATGTTGATGCATATATTAAATGAACTAATTTAATTACTTTAATACAAAAAATCAAATAAATTCTATCCGGATTCAGATTTAACTGGATCTATTAAATTTGTTTTAATATAAAATATGTATTAAGTTAATTCTAGCTGTGTATTAATACCTGTTCCAGTCATCTGCAGATTTTCACTTTTGTTCCTCAACATATATATGTGAAATGCCTAGATGCTCTGTAATAATGGTTTCTTATAAAATGTCTGGTTACAGGATCAATAAATCGTGTCAGATTCAACTCATCTTTATAGAGTATATGTGGATTAGGCTAGATTTATAAAACTTGCATCAGGATATTAAATGCATTGATTATACAGTAATATATATATATATATACTGTTTATACATTAATTACTGGACACAAAAAAAAATACATATTTACATAAATATGAAAACAAGCACCATTTTTAGATGCAGTCAAATTCATTAAGAATTTTTGTGATATATTCATGTTTTGTGTAATTACAAAGTGACTAATTATTTAAGGTATAGAAACCTAACAGATTTTGTGCTTTTTCATTAAACAATTCTCTTTTAACAGAAGTAGCAAATACTTGTTATATACAGAGTGGGGCTAAAGTTACTAGAAGCTTGTACTAAAGGTTGGTACACTTGGTATTATATGGTTGATACTAAAGAAAATATTACAACAAATGAAACCAATTTAAGTGTTGTTTGTTACTGAATAAGAGATAAGAAATTGAACTATGTTCTAAATGAAACAATTGTAGTCACTTTTCCCCCAACCCTGTATACTGCAATGATGTTTTTGATTGTTCGAAAATATTTAGTATTTAAAAATACTCTTTCATTTCAAAAATTAATATCTTTATTATATTTCACTGTAGTTTGTGTTATGCATTATAGTTCATTTGATTGTTTTTGTGAGCAGAAATATAAGTTTCATAATAATAATAATTGCTGTTTTCTTCTAGACAAGTTGAGTGAGTTTTAAACTTCACTGCTTTTACTGGGTTAAGATGGCCTTTAAAAGTATGATGTTTTCCTTTCGATACTTAATCAAAAAACCCAGTAGCTTGATAGGCTTTCCTACCTATTACCGACCTGTTATTCTTGTTTGTGAGCAGTGTAGGCAATTAAGTGAGTACATGTTTATTATAATTAAGTAACATTTTAAAAACAGATTATTATTTAGTGCTTCATCTCATTAAAACAATGTATGATAATGTTTTAAGAGATAAATATAAAATATTTGACAGAAGGTGATCCTATTGAAAATTATTATGTATACAGTTTATTCAAGTGTTGAAACTTAATGCTTTTTTTGTTAACATTTCTAAATTGATTTCAAGACTAATAATGTAAAGTTGTAGAAATATTTACAAAAATCATAATTATTTTTTACAATACACAATGGTTCAGTTCATTTGACTTAACAGATATATGCTTTTATTTTTTCACACTTGTTCAAAAGTACTTTTTGTAAGTTTGGTTAAGATTATGAAGGTCAAAAGTTATTGTAACAGTTAACAAAATTTTCATACAGATGTTTTTAAGATAGGTGTAGTAAGTTAAAACCTGTATTCAGTTCTGCTTAAGTTAGGTCAAAATTACCATTTGTCATATAGAAACAAGGTTGACAAAACATTTGAGTTAGACTAGAATTTATTTAATAAGCCCTGTAATTTTGTTCGTTTGTCAATGACATAACTTCTGTTCTTCAGGACTATGAAAATTACAAACACTAAAAAACATTAAAAATTTGTTTTATAGTTGGTCATTAGACAGTTCATATTTCTGTTATAAGAAGTGTCTTTTTACTTTTTGTTTGTCTCTATTATGTCAATGTGGAATTTTCCTTCAAGACTCCTCGTACAGTTATGATTTGGCCATCTAATATCGCTAGTAACATGAGTCAATTTGTTGAAAATGTATCTTTTTTTTTATGCATTTTTATGTTAAGCTATTGGTTGTAATAGTTATGTGACTTGATAGTATTTGTAGTTGATATTACTGACTTGGGATTATTTATCACTTATATAACAATGACTATTATAAAGAAAGTTTTTGAAATTTCTACTGTTAATTCACATCAGTAGATGCAACTATTGCCATCTACGGACTATTTTAGCAGCAAATATACTTGATCTTTTGGAAACTTGCAGTGTAAGAATTATTTGAAAACTATTTTAATAGATTATTTCTCAACCGCACAAAATTACCTTTCTTATTTGTATCAGTATTGAATTTTGAGGTGTCGGTTGAATTACATAATTTTTTACTATATTATATTTTGATCTTTGCCTTTATAGGTGGATATTGTAGAAATATTTTTGAATACAACAAGTCTACAGACTTGTTAAAACAAGGCAACTACAGGTCGGGGCAACTTCGTTTTGCAGAAGCTATATCTTCCGGCAATGTTGAAGATCACCTACAGACCCATTTGCAGGCCAAGAAGAGATTGTCAAGAAAAAAAATAGATAATGTTACTGAAGCAGATTCCACCAAGGTAAAAGTACAAGAAAATCTGTGTTGATGAATTGTCTATTTTTGTACAAGATTGAATTAAATCAAACTGAAATTAGAAGGTGTCTTTCCAGTAAGGAAATAATTTATTGAAATTTCTTGTATCCTTCAAAAGAAAAATTTAATAACGATATTCAGAGTATAGGTTATAAATTAAACTTATTGGAAATAATGATGAAGTTACATTATATTAATGCCATATAGATAATTAAGATTTTCTTGTACCCAGTACTTGACAAGGTGACCCTTTTTGCAGTGTACGCAAGAGAATTCCTTAGACTAGTTATTAATATTTGTTCTTAATATTATTCAAAGAGGGTTGAAGCTGTAATTGTATTTCAATTCGAATCCTGATATAGGATTGGTGGAGTGTGGTTGCTTATAGTACAGCTGAAGAATATGATTTGAATGGCCTTATCGATGGCTTGAATAAACAAGGACTTTACCAGCAGTCAGCCATGCCTGAGGACATGCATGATGTTTTATATATGTGTGCTAGATATCAAGTAGATAGGGAACCAAGAGGAGCATATTTCTTTAGGTAAGAGCTTTAGGTTGTAGATCTACTCTGTTCAAAATTACACTTTTTCTCACGGCCATCATTAGGCTTTTTAAGGAACAAAGCAAAACTGTAAGCTGCCTTTGTCAAGAAAACTGAATGAGCAGTGTGTCATCATTATCCAGTAAAAATGGTTACTGCTCAGTTGTAGTTATGCAAGAGTATTGCGTAGGATGTTAGTTTGATATCGAACATTTGTTATTAAGAGAAACTGTCTGACACAGCAGCGTAAATAAATAAATTTCTCATCCAGATTGCAAGTTCAGTGTCCTAATCCTTATCTTAATTTGAATACTCATTACCATGTTTGTAGCAAATAATCACCATTGTTTTCACTTTCAGGAAGTAAAGTACCATTCTTATAATAACAACCACCACAAATTTGTCCATCAAAGCTATTATGTTTCAGCTGATTTGCCCGATACTAGGTTTTGTTTTCATTTTCATTTGTGGTACCTTTATTGGTAAGTAAATCAAGCCACGTTTTTGCGTGTGCATAACTTCAAAAATAATAACGTTATATGAAGTATCGTTTTTGCATAAGTACCATGAAATTAGAGGCTGCCTAGTAATAAAAGTAAGTCGTAAAAAACATTATAAAGGATTGCAGGTTCGAATTCCATTCCATAACATATTTGCCCTTTCATCCGTGGGAGTGTTATAATGTGACAGTCATTCCCACTATTTGTTGGTAAAGATTAGCCCAAGAGTTGGTGGTGTTGACTAGCTGCCTTCCCTTTAGTTCACAACGTCAAAATTAGGGACAGGTAGTACTATTAGCCTTCGAGTAGCTTTGCATAAAATTCAAAACGAGAAGAACTATTAATGGATGTTTTGAATGGTTATTTCTTCTATTTTATGCATTCCATGTTCCTCATTTAAATCATATTCTTTCTTTTTAGTGAAGGATCGGTAGTGTTTTGGAACGTGCCTGAAATAGAAGTAAGTTTAATTATCTTTGTTTGTATAAATTTGCAAGTTACTAACACCACATTGTTCTAAGTGTTTCTACAAATTAGTGGAAGGGCATATAATGATTAAAAGAAAATCCAGTATGCCATTATCACTAAATATTAAAATATATAGTGCACAAAAGATTTGTTTGTTTATTGTTAAGCACAAAGCTACACAATGGGCTATCTGTGCTATGCCCACCCTGGGTATTGAAACACTGTTTTTAACATTATGAGTCTTCAGATATACTACTGAGCCACTGGGGAGCTCAAGAGGTTCAAACAGACATTAGTATACTTAATATGCGAGCTAAAAAAAAGGAACCCGTCAGGTATACAGCATCATCTATAAGTTTTCACACATAAGAAGGCACTAACAGTAAGATTTTCTTGATTTTATAAATGCAGGTAAAGTGAATCTTCTAATGCCCCCTTCCTTCCCCAAGATACATTCCAAGTTTAAGAAACACTGGTATAGGTTACTAACTGTGACAACATTTGATACCTGATCACCATAAAATCTTGATAAAAAAACACTTCATAAGATTCAAGATGCATATTTCACAAAATGTGTTTGTTTGTACGTGTGGGGGACAAGTAGGGCTACTATGACAGACTGCGGTTCATGTCCTCATTACCACCAGAAAAATTTCCGCTCCATGACTTGGAGCTGTGAGTTCATTGTAAGAGAACTGGAAAAATCCCACTATTTAATTAGAGTAGCCCACGAGTTGATGGTGAGTGGTATTGAGTAGATGCCTTCTGTCTTGTCTATCTCTACAAAATTAAGGCTGGCTAGTGTAGATAGCCCTTGATTAGCTCTGCATGTAAAATTCAACAAATGTTAAGTTTGGCGTATGCTGTTTATTTAGGAAAAATATACATGAAAAAATTTTTTTTTTAAAATCAAGCTTAAACTCATCAAAGTAAAATCATAAGGGATGTTAAGGAAAATATGTGAAAATATATATATTATTTTTGTTGTTAAACAGTTTTTATTACTAATTTTGGTCTTTTAAGTATTTTGTATAATTCAACTTTTCTGATTTATTACAATTACAGTTAAAAAAAACATTGGGAAAATGTAAAAATATATGTTATTTTCTTTGTTAAGCAGTTATAACTGATGATTTTTTTAAAGTATTTTAATTTCTTTTGTGTCATTCTCATTTTCTGGTTTACTAAAATTATAGTTTTTAAAGTTTAGCGTATGTTTTGTAGCGGCAAGCTGTGCTTAAATTTCTAAAGCATTACGAAACAAACCCATATAGTGAAAGCATTGTTCTTGACGAAAAGGAGGTGATGGAATATTTGTATACAGAGTAAGTGTACCGTTCTCGGTTATTTTTTTCTCTAAAAATTTACAAACTAGGTAAATAGATGTTTTTTAATCCATTTTTTTATTTATAATAATAGTACACTTTTTTATTGTTTTTTTCCTACTTAAATTTAATGATAATCCATTTTAGGAAAATTTACAGTCAATCCAAAAAATCAATTCTTTAAATCTCACACAAAAAAAAATTCATGTTACTTTTAGAAATGTCGAATATTAGTGAACTTTATGGTTCTTTTGGGCCCCATATATTAATTCTTTAAAGTTTTTTTTTTAAATTGTTCTCAAATCCTGTTATACAAGTTATTTCTTTGTAAGTTAAATAAGATCTCTTTGAACTGGCAGTTCAAGTATTACACTTTTAAATGTTTATTACTGATATTCTGGTTATTTTAAAGTACCTTGACCTGTCTCTTTCACCTGGTGAGCTCACGTAAAATGAGGTAATAATAAAAATGACACTGAGTGTGACATGGAATTATTTTATTTTACATTTTAATTAGCATGTTGGATGCTGATTTGAACCTTGTAATAGTTCAATGTTCATATGTTTCTAGGTGCCATGTTAAAGTTACCATTTTAATGTTAACTTTGTTTTGTGCAAGAGAACTAGTCTGAAAAAATGTGGTTGTAGTGTTCATTGGTAATTTATATATATATATATATATATTGTCTAATGGAAAACAAAATGCCTAATTGTAAGTAAGCTTGTAAATTAAAATAAAAAAAAAGTGAGATTAAACGAACTATATGAGTTCTTTGGTTTGCTTTTGTTCATAAATTTGTTTGCATGTTCATAAAGGTTTAGAGAGTATTATGTGGTTTTAGGGTTATTTAATGACTTATAGATGTCTTATGGATAAGTCTTCACATAAGCAAGTTGTTCTCTACTTCGAGGCAAAGTTAAAAGTTTAAGGTGAAAAATTTTTGATCCTTTGTATAAAAGTTTTAAAATATAAAAATGTTTATATTGTGAGTTTGTTCATAAAATAAAGAGGTTCGTTTTTATTTCTTACGTTTTTGGTTTATTTATAGACATAATTCTCAGATTTTGTTTTGTTTCATATTTAGTTTTAGTATGCTTGTTATTAATTTTTTTTTTAGTTTGAGGAATAATGCGATATTCATTTTTTAAATACTCTTTTAAAGTACATTGTAAATCTTCCTCTACTTGACATTAAAAACCATTTATATAAGTAGCTACAATAGTGTATTCTTTATGTATGGGCTGTATTCTTATAGTTCTAAGGTGCTACTTATATGAAGAAAGTACAGTTTTCATCATTTCGTACTTTAGTTATCTACACTCTCCTCTATTTGTTAGGGAAAAAATATTTGTTTTCTTCTGAATGGAAGCATACTTCTTTTCCATTACAAACAGAAGTTCACAGTATTAAGTTAGCAAACAATGATTTTATAAGCCTAACGCAGTGATTTACTTTTTAGATGACATACTACATGTTTCGACAGAACATACCTAAAGAAGACAGACCAATGTTCTGTTGAAACATGCAGTATATTCCCCCCCCAAAATAAATCACTTAATCATGCTTATAAATCGTCGTTTGCTAACTTATTATTATATTAACATAACGTGCTTCCATACTCAGACACAAGTTCACACTCTTGATAAATATATTAACTACACTGTGAGAGAATGATGTGATTAGATAAATGCGATGTTGTAGCTTTTAAATGCCTGTTGTTATAATTTATAATCTCAACTTCTGCATGCCACTGGTGGTGTAACCGATGATAGTCTAGACAGAGTCTGGGACATTTTGTTATGGATAGCTGGTGAAATGGACTTTTTGCTGTGGAAAACATTTCATTACAGCATCCAAGTTACCATCACATCGTTATGAAAGTTTTCATTACAAATGTTTTTTTGTTTCACTACTATCAATTCAAAGTATGTTAAATTACAATAAATGTTTTTGTAGACATAGATCACTTTCACTGTAATTTATGTTTTATGTTCATGACAACTACTCCCTTTAACACATCGTAATACAGGATTAGACACCCTCTCACCCCATAGCATTATGTAATTTTTGAATGGTCCCCAAGTGACTATACAACTTACAGTTTATTATTGTCACAAATCAGTTTTCTATTTAAAAAACAACTTATCACAAAATCAGTATTCGTAACAAAAACTGCCATGTCACAAAGTTGTCTTAATAACAATGTGGCAGTAATGAAATGTCCAGTAACTAAATGTTCATAACAAAATGTCTGAATCCTTTTTAGACATACAGTAAATAAATGTTTGTTTTTGCTGCTCGTTTCGGTATTTTGGTAACACTTCACATAATTTATACATATTATTAATGCCAAAAAAAATTATGATTTAATTGGTGGTAGTTTTGATGTATGTTACTATCTTTATGACTCTACATCATAAATGTGATTTTTTTTTGTCTTTTAATACTGAATACACTGATTACTGTGAGTCGTATTTAATTAACATGAATCATTCGAAGCTTGTTCTTTATTATCTACCAGGAAATCTACCAGGGGAAGGCAAGTTCACTGACACTGACTGGTATCTAATGAATGTTTGTACAGATTAGTTGTTTCACGTGTTTGTCTCGTGTTTAGTGGTGTTTCGTTGCTAAAATATTTTTGCTTTTGATAAGTATGAGGTCATAATTTTTTTGCAGAGTTTTAAATGCATATAAGCAACATTATGATCTTAAAACTTTTCTTTATTAGTAGTTTTTCTAGTAAGTACCTTTTTAATTTATTTCATCCATTTTTTTTTAATATTAAGATATGTAATGAGTAAAAAATTAAAGTTTTTATTTATACTAACGAACTTGAAAAAAGTCTTTCCTGTAATCCTTTTCTTGGGTAATTTTTTATATCCAAGGAGTTACAGAAAATAATTCAAATACTTTAAAAAATAAATTTGTATTGATTAAGATTTGTTTTTTATTTATAAAACTGCAGCATAAGGTCTGAAAGTCAGTAGATAAAATAATCTAAATAAAATTTGAAAAGAATAGTGCAGATAGCTCTCTTGTGAAGTTTTTCACAAAATCGTCAAATAAATTGCTGAAATACTTAGGGCTTTTTTATCCAATGCGGAAAAGGGGCAGATACCCAAGGCCCAGTATATGTTGGAAGTATTATAATAATTAATGAAATATGAAGTGTATAAAAAAAATAATAAACCAGTTTTTTTTAATTTGTTTTTCTTTCCTTATTTTGTTATCACTAATAAATTTAGTTTATCAAATTTTCTTTAAATACACTAGTTTATACCAGTCCTTTAATGTGGCACTACAAATATTATTCCAGATAATTAATAAAAGTTGTGGTGTATTTGTTAGAAAATGTACTTACAAAATCCAGTTTTTGAAACTTGTTTTCAAATTTCCTATTATCAAAAAAATATTGTATTTTTAGGAAGTTTTATTGACTTGGCATTAAATGTAGGTAGGTTTTGGGGCATCATGATTGCTGAGATAACTGGTTATGGTTCAGTTTGAGGCCCTGACCAATTCAAAATTTTCCTAACCATGCTACTTGAAGCATGTTTTATTTTTACTGCCACTTGTGTCATGTAGTCAAAGTTTGCTTGTTTAGCACGTACAGCAAATAGTGGAAGTTTAGAGCTTTAAATGCTTTACAGCACACAAGGAGATACGTAAACGTGCATGAGAACTTACTTCCTGTCTGATTCTAAACTTATGAGCCGAAGCAGTAATCTTAATTTGTCAGTTCATCTAAATTATCAAATATATGTTTTTCTGAAATAAAGGACTTTGCCTTTTAATACACGAGTAATTTATTGAAATTCATTACAAAGGAAAATATGGGCTTAATTAATCCTGTGATCTATGTCAGTAACACAAAGTGACATAGACAGTTCTTAGATTTCATAGAGTCTTAAGTCAAACTGGTTAATTTGTTATGAACTGGTTTAAGGACAATGAGTAGCTGGTTAGAGAAAATTGCAAACCATGATGCCCCCCTTGTGATTTTGATTATATTTAACATGATTTTAAAAAGTAAATCCTCCCTAAAATAACAATCCAGTGGTTAGTTGTTTTGTTTGGATATTTATAGTTGCTAGTCATTCATCAGTATTTATATATTTTTTATGCCAGCGGTTTGTTTCAATTCCTAGATGACTAAGTAAAACCTCCTTTATAACATTTTTCAACTTAATATAAGTGTTTCAACTTAAATGTAAGTACCTATATTTTATAGGTTGTATAAAGTGCATTATAAAATGGATTTCATAAGTCACGTGTTTCAAGAAATTGAAGAGGCAATTCAGTTTTTTTCCGTTTATAATAAAAAAAAATTCCAACTTTTTTTAGATTTTGTTTTAGATTTCTGTAAAGTACGAACTTTAATCAATTAATATATATGCTTATAAATGGGGGGGATCAGTATTTTTATGAAACCTTGTAGGTATACGTGTTGTGTGTTGTTTTTACCGCTGTTTCTATTCATTTAGTTTGTTTTTTGTATTTTATCCATTTTTTTTGTGTGTGTGTGTGTGCCATCTGAAATTTTTTTTTAGCATTTTAGATCAGAAAAGATTATTTTGTATTCGATTTTAATTTTTTTTTTGTGAAACAGTGTTTTGGTATGGGTAAAAGTCTCTAGCACAGTTTATGGAAAGATTAGCTTTTACATGCGTGTAATCCACAGATAGTTAAAGCTCTTAAGCTACAAATTAAACAATAAAGTTCAATTTATCTACATGTAAAGGTCTCTAAGTGTTTTAAAATGAGTTCTAAATGTATTGAAAAAATTTGCAATTGATCGAAACAGAAAAGTCAAATGTGTGTATAAGTAAATATGTATTTTATAAAAAAATGTTAATCTAAATTTTTGGACTGTTTTCATGGGACTAATTTTCAGCAAAATGGTTACTAATTCCAGAAACTAATAAGAAACTCTTTCTAACTGGTATAATTGTCAAACAGATTAAAGCTTTTTTCCTTTAAAGTTAATTTTTTTTATTTTCTTACTAATGAAATTAGTATGTTTTATGACAAAATGGGTATGGCATGTATATAGTGCACGCTAAGATTTCCTCACAATGATGTATTTGCTTTAGCTATGCATAAAATACATCCCAGGGGGAATAATCAAATTTTCTATAGCGGTTATATGTTGTGAAGGGCATGACAGCTTCGTATGACTACTGTATATATTCAGGAGAAGAACATGTGCTCATTGAAGCTGCTTTAATTCTGCAGTTCTGGTACTGTTTAACTTTAGAAAAAAGTTATGGTTTAAACACTGAAAGCTGGCAAAATACTGAAAAACCAATGGCCCAAATTTTTATAAAAACAAGGTAACTGCAGGTTTTTTTTTTCCCCATGTTCTTCTTAATATCATCATTGTGGCTCAAAATCAGAGGTGTATAAAAAAAAATATTTCAGATCTATCTTTTGTTTTTTACAAGTTGCTGCCCCAATAATCTTTTCATTCAATACCAGAACTCGTTATTTTTAGAGTATTATACTGCATATATAAATATGTCTCTTGCCATCTAACCCAACTGATGAGTTGTCGTATTGAACAAAAAGCTTATTAGGCAGTGACTTGTGTTCATTGATAAATCTTATATCTAGATAGAAATCAGTGTTTATCCTCCCTTCACTATAGCAACAGTTTTTTTTGGTAATTTTGTTACAATGTTGCAGTTTTTGCTACATAGTTTCAAGCCATTAAAACAGGTTGTGATGTCATCTTTACTTATTATTTTAAAAAATCAGCTGCACAACATTCTTAGGCCTACTACTGTCAGTAAAGATGACGACAAAACCTTGTCGAAACGTCGTACATTTCCTGTTATGTTAAACATTCCTCTTAATATACCGATTGTAGCTCAAAATTAGCGTAAAAACAGCATTTCAGATTTATCTTTTGCCTCAAATAATTACTCATAAAGCATAGTTTTTATATCAATGTTTGTTTTTTAAAAATTCAGCAACAAAACTCGATTAATCGGAGGCCGGATTATGCTTAACTCTGAAGGTTCAACTGATTTGGAAAAGTATGCTTTTTCAAACGGCATAGCATTATCAGGTGAAATATTGATAATATGCCTTAGATATTTGAGAATAATCTCTATATATATATGTGTCTTTTGGTTTGAATTGTTTCACCTTCACTCAAAACGTTTCACAGTGTGTTGTATTATTATTCACTTGATACAGAAGCTGTTTTATAAACTTAATCCAATATACATTGTGATAATTTCAGGTATAGTGTGAGAATTTACTTCAGGTATAGTGTAAGAATTTTTTCTGATACATTTTAAGAAACTTTGCTGTAAATTTAATTGATTTTAATTAATTTTACAAATAAATTGTGTTAATTAATCACCTATGTACTGTTTTAATGAAACTAGGAAAAATCTGTGCAAAAAATGATTTAAATAACTCAAGATTTGTGCATGCTTCTATTTCTACATACAGTAAAACTTGCAATATGGGAAGCTTCCTTGGAGAAGTATGTGGAGAGTATTGAGTGGCTAACAGAGGTTAGTAATGATATTACAGGGAAAGGAACAAGTTTGCAATAGCTTAAAGCTTGTGCTATTTTTTTCTGTAACTCGTTGAACCAGAAGTATTTTTAGACTTTTATAATCAGCAGCTTTTTGACTTTGCATTTCTTTATATCAAAACTTGTATGTTTACTCAAATATATTTATTTATTTTTCCTCGTTTCAAGAGTATTATTTATTTATGTCTAGTGTTAGTGTTTTATTTTAAATCATTTGAAAGTTAGATGACTGTCATTTGCTAGCATCAATTTTGGGGCAATATAAAAATATTTGAGGAATTAAGTGAATATAAACAAGGTAGGTATGTTTATTATATCTATAGATTCATTATGTTGTGGTACTAATATTTATTTCACTCTCACTTGTATGTTTTACATACACATTAGCTTTTTTATCTAAGGAAGTGGTATTCAGAGAACCAATGATAATTCTTTTTTTTTTTCTTATGTTTATATGGAAATGGGAAGGTTATATACATCATGCGTTTGATACTAATAATTGTTTTTTATTTGTCAACTTCAGCTAAGTATGGTGTAATGGTTAGTGTTTTGGGTTGGATTGTCCAAGATTTGAGCTGCAATGTACATGTTTGTGGGTGGAAAGTACTGCTGATGCATTTGTTTCCCTCTGGTCAGACATTCTAACTTTGGAATAATCATGCGTGAACTTTGGTTGGTGTCTGACATTTAGCTGATATGTGGCATAAGGAGCCACTTAGGTTGAAAATACTTTGTGATCTACTTAGAAATAACAGAAGGAAAAAACCATGTAATTCAGTATTTTCACTTTACAAGTGTAGATGTTTTCATATTAAACAGTTCTTGTACTATTAGCCGTTATGAAGCCACAATGACAAAATATTGGCTGAAATAAAAAGTTTTATTTTATTACTTGGACAGTAAAGATAATTTTTTTTCTTATTGCCAAAGTGTAGATTAACTGTATATGTTTTATTTTCGGTATATGATACTATAAGATTATAGTAAGTTGTCTTTTTTATATATTTATAAAGACAGATGAGACTCGTGTTTGTCGAGATAAAAAAGAAATGTTTGTTGTATGTAAAATGTTTTTTCCTTTGAGATAAATTTCTTAAAATTTAAATACCTAAGGAAGCTGATAGTTTAAAAGAAAAAGTTTTAGATTGTATGGTTACCATCTATTTCAAGCAAAATTGCCTTGGGTGTTTGTATGTATTTAACTATGCTTCTTTATAAATTAGTGTTTTGACTAGTAGAAATTATTAATCAATTAATACATGTTTTTATAAAGAAAATTTTCTTGACTATTCATCTTGTTAACAATGGATTCTATTTTTTAATAGGAAATGAAGATTGGCAAAAAAATCTCAATAACGAGAGAGAATGTTTTCCAGAAAAGTGGGGAGCTATTTGCTTTAAGGTAGATAATTAGGAATAAAATGCATAAAATTTTTAATTAATTCTCACTTTATATCTTAGCTTCTCACAATTTAAAGGAATCTCAGATTTATATGTGTCGATGCGTGCGTGTGCTTATATTCTTGGTTGAAATGCAGCATTAAAGAGTGATCAAGCAGGAATTGGATAAAGAATTGGAGCCTCTGTGTAATTCATTCCTACATTCAATCACAGTTTTGAAGATAGCTTTAGATATTATATCTTAGATTGCCAGGATACTAATGTGAAATCAACTTTCATTTAAAGTACACTTATAATAAGTTTGTGAAAGAAATCTCTCTTGTTTTTCTAACTTTTAGTTGTTTATTTACATTAGGTAATTATCTTTGGTGAAGTGTACTTTGCTTTTTGAGAAAATAAGGGTGGTATTTACTAGCTTTCAGATTTAGCAGAAATATAAAGCAGTGTGTAGGGTGTTTACGAAAAGAAAAGTAAAAACATTCTGTTATTGGTTTTTATTAAGAGAGGTTATCTAGTTGAAACATACAGGTAACAAGAACATTTTATTTATTTGAAGTACTTAATGACATATTTATCAGATAAGACGTATCTTGCGGTGAAATAACTTATTTTGAATACGATCACTGCATTCAGAGTAAACTTTGACAAAATTTTAAGGATTAAACATTTTTATCTGTGATCACACAATGAAATAACAGTTTTTCACAAATATTCCCTGAGTTAAGCTTGAAATAAGGGCCTTGTAGGAACTAATATTAAAAAAAATGCAACATTCCCCTAGTGTTAAACTGGCATCAAGGAAGTTGAAGAAAGAACACTGGATTTTCTCTACTTTTGCATGTTACAAATATTATACTAATGCTGGGAAACCGCTAGTTCCCAACCTGTGGTGCATACCACTGGGAGTTTGTGGAGACCTATCTTGGGGTATGTGAGAAACTTTGAAAAACATTAA